CCAGTAGTTGAAGGGAGAAGGTAAAGGAGGAGGCATCAGAGAAGGAAGGAAGGAAAAGAAGGAAAGGGGAAGAAAAGAGGGGAGAGGCTTCCCGGTTGACAAGTGCCCTGAGACGCAAGCTCCTTATCATTCGACGGTAACGTCCCTGAGGAAGTGTTCATAAATAACGACAGCGGAAAATTGATGAACTGTAGAATTGACGAGGATTAGATACGTGTCTATCTATTTCCGCAACTCATCGTTCCTTCATTTCTTCGGTTCTTTGGACGTACGTATCAGATCCTTCGCCAATGACTGCCTAAATTTTCTAAGTCACGTTATTTGAATTTTTGAGCAAAGTCATCTTGAGTCTTGATCAACTCTAAACTTCTCAGTGGTCAAAGTTGCACGATTTGCACTCGTTTTGTTGTGTTTTTCCTCAAAGAAAGTTTCAGGATGCTCGCCCGTGGGGCGCGGTGTCTCTCAATTCGTTGGGTACATTCAACTTTCGAAAAAGCTGCTCTCCAGAAATTTGACGATTTGGCTTCCACGTCAACCACACCAGATGCGAAAGAGGTTAGATTTTTAGATTTATTACTTTCTTTATTTGATTAGTTTTTTTCTGCGTTCTTGTACTTTTGGGTTTTTGGGTTTCCATTGAGCCTATTTTTTAGCCAACTTTATGATTTTTTCTCTTCTTTTTCCTCAATGTTCTGACCATGACTGTACTTCTAACCTATCTGCTTCTACTACATTTTTAACCCCAATAAATAAATATATTATGTTTATATTTGTGAAGGTGTGGAATCGCCGTGTACAACTTCGAAAGCCCATACTTCAGCGGGATGAAGTGATTTCACCTAAGGTTGGTTTGGGATAACCCTGATTTCAGTTGTATATAGAATGTATGCATTTAAACTCTGCGCTTCCTTTAAGGTGTACTATGCCCCAGAATGGGAACTGGACAAGAAGCCGAACAAGGCTAATTCGGCTGACGCCATATTGACAAGGGTACGGTATTATGGGACACCTTGAGAAATGGGAATATTACAACAAGGTTTCTATCAATAACAAAATTTCTTTCTAATAATTTTTCCATTAAGCCCTTCTCTAGTATTACTACGTTTTAGGTCTTGTTTTTTGGCCTCCTCATTATATTGTACCGGAGACAGGATTGCCAAAAGCCAGAGAAGTATTCCATTGCAGAGAATCGGTTAGTTTTTTTTCCTTTTTTGAGTTTTAGTAGAACGAAAAGTTGTATTCTGGTTTGCGCATCTCTTACCTTCTTTTAACTTTGATCACTTTACGTCAGTTAATGTTTAAAACTAGCAGTTATTTCTAATGAAATGATTGCCGTAATGTATTGTTGATGTTTTCATGGCCCCGGTTTCCGTGGTGTCGATACCTCGGGCTAGTCAGCATAGGGCCAGATTCAGGCACAGCGTTCGTTTGAGTGAGGGAAAGGGAGCACTCTCCATATGAGTCTTGAAGCAACAACTCCAGAATGCAAAATTTGTTTTCCCGGTAAGTTAACTCTTTGCGATTTCCGCCCGTTTTGCATTCCCCCGCCCTCCCTCCGAACCTGAGTTGTCAGCGGTTGGAAGAAATGCCCTTGTTGATTCCTTAGATGAGTTCCCCTCCCCCTCCCGCTGCGTCGGTTATTCCAGGGAGAAACGTTTTGTTAGTTCGAAAAAGGAAAATCGCGTACTGGCGACGAAGCATTCTGGGATCAAGGTGGTAGGTAGGAGATGCGGAAAAAGGTTTTTGCACTAGGCGAATCTCGATAATGTCCGATGGAAAGGTTCGGGGTTGGATACCGCCGCCCGGACCAGCTTACCCGGCTCCTGATGGGTGCTACCACTCAGGCTCCTGGTGGGGTTGATAACATGATTTATTGGGCCAGCACGCATGGTCAGAGACGCCACTATAAGATCCCAGGGATTGGCAGAAGCCGTGTCCCTCAGCACAAGCCCAAAACTCGCACGATGCGGGCCCGCGGAGGCCTCGGCCATACTCATTTGATACTATTGATGCGAGATGAGGATGGCCAGCTGGAAAACGAGTGAGACGACTGCAGTGTCCTACGCAGAATCATCGCAAGGGGTCGCATCTGTGATAAATATACATAGGTGTGGTCCCGCTGAGATGCACACATACACCACAGGCATATCTTGTCCTCAGATGGTTGTTGAGGCAGCCTTTGCGCTAGTTCAAGGTGCGGTTGCGTGGCGTACTTTTGGCTTATTTCTTCCGCAGCTCACTCGGCACCCACTGGAGAGCCGAGAAGGTGGAATAGCAGACAACCTGTAATGGCAAAATCCGCGAAAAGATCACATGCAGTTGATCGTTTGGTCATCAATAACATTTCAGTACTGATAATATGTAGATTTTCCAGGTGGGCGGAGTCATTAATCGGTACGTATCCAATACTTTTCTTGGGTCATCTGATCTCCCTCCTCTTCCAAAATGTTGAGTATAAAGGAGGCTTATTGACGTGAAACTCAGTTTTCGATACACGCAGATTCTTTTAGGGTGTGGCCTTGAGAAGCCCAGGTTTACTGTCAGTTTCGCTGATACATTTAGAATATCCTCAGAAAAATATTCCAGGTACATTTCTCCCCAAAGCGTATGTGGCAGGCATGTCAGCTCATTTGGCGGACAAATGTTGACGAAGCAATAACCCAACTGAATTTTCAACAGATAAAGGTACGGTAGTCGGTCAATCTAACCTCTACATGATGTTTGTAGAAAAGATCATTTCTGTTCCGTTCCTCTTTGTTGCGTAGAAAACGGCTCCAGTGTGCTTAGGGTTTTTCGCTCCCATGGTTGTTGTAATTTGATTTATTTCTTTCAGAGTTGCAAAATTCTTGCTGAAGTGTTAACAGAGGCCAAAGAAAGAGCAGTGAACGAGTTTCATATCGAATTCCCATCCGATATGTTCGTTGCAGATGCGTTTCCAATCCAGTGCCAGATAGTGAAAGGTAACATTCAACTCCTTCTCACAGTGCTGTAAGTCTGTTTTTTGGACATCGGTAACATTTTGACATGCTAGGTTGTCCTTCATATAGATGAATATTTTCGAATTTTCGTTGAATCAAAGCCGGTTTCAGGGTTAGAACTAATGATCTTTTCCAGCGCTTGGGGGCGACCCCCATTGCCGGACTTCCAAGGGGCGGTCATCGTAGAGCGAAAAAATGAATGATGCTTACCGAGAAGTCCGCCAACTTTACCTGCTCATAAGTTGCTTGTGAAATGCAGGTTGCAGTTTTGCTATCTATATTTGTAAATAACCTTATAGA